ACCACGTCGTCCTCCAGGTCTCACCCCGGATGTGGGAGAGACTGACCACGGCTGGCAGAATTTATGTCGACCTGCAGCACGTCAAGGTGTTTGACCAGACTCCGCTGGTCCAATGTAGTCGGTGTCTGTCCTACGGACATGGGCGAAAAAGTTGCACGGAGAAGGTGGACCTGTGCAACCATTGCGGGGGGCCTCACCTCCAGGCGGATTGCCCTAGATCCGCTGAAGGGGGAGGTCCTACCTGCATTAATTGTAAAAAGGAAGGGCACAATGAAACGGGTCATTCTATTTTCGCCCAGGACTGCCCTGTTCGTAGAAAGTGGGACGCCTTGGCGCGATCGGCCGTTAGCTATTGCTAAGGTGACATTTGGCGTCCCACAGGCGTGCAACATGAAGGGCACCGACACACCGATGGACAACTCCCTATACGGGGAAAGCAGTATAAACTCACGCGACCACGACGGCGGCGAGGCCGCACTTATCGGGAGCACCAGCACACGAAAAAGTCTCGGTCAGGTGGTGACCAATGTACCAGCCACATCAAATCGGGGTCCGAGCGTAATTTAATTTTGTCCAACTTCATCAGAAGGGGTGCAGATTTAAGAATGGGCCTTTTATCTTGCCGTGGTGGTTCGAACACCAAAAACTGGACTTGCCGAAGGATGACGTCACTGACTGTACTGCAATACGCACTTGTTGCTGCGTGGCCAGACCATCGCCGCCGCCGATCGCCTGTACAGCAAATCAGGGTGACACTGCAAGACGTAGCCAGGGACCAAAAACAGGGAACTCAGACGTTGGCCTTTGCTTGGTGAGCATAGGTTTTGGTAGCTTAGACCATCTCGTCGGAAGTCCCAGAGGGCCACGCAAACGTCTCTAAAAGACATGTTACACATGGTGGAGCGTTTGCGTGAAAAAGGCACCATGACGATGGAAAGCGCCAAACCTCGAATGTAGCATATCAAATAAAGGGCAGAAAGTGGCGCTAGGTACTTATATTAAGAGAATATTATGACATCAGCGTCAAATATAAGGAAGCACAGGCAAACCAGAACCCATCCAACCGACTAGTTACGATGTGTGAAAAAGTGGTTACACATCACCCTCTTTAATTTCGTCCCACTGATGTTAAATAGATCTATGTCAATCTCCCTACAAACAGCATTAAGCGTGTGACAAGCCCTGACCATAAATGAATTCTGCCGATAAATGCTCAGAGTGGCAGGAGTATGGAGAAGATTATGCCTTCTGCCGATCAGTGTTCATTCTGGAGGCTGCCGCCTCCGTTCGGGTCGAGCGCCGCAGGTACTGCCGAAAACTGGTTGGGGCAGCCGAGCCCATTATAAAAAAGACGTGGTCGAAGACACGGTGGAAGGGGAACACAGACGATGCCCTTCACTTGGCAGACCATCTTCAGACTATATCGTCGAAAGTCCTGGAAGGCCACGCAAACGTCTCTAATAGTCATGTTACACATGGTGGAGCGTTTGCGTGAGAACGGCACGACGATGACGGAGAACACCAAACCTCCACGCGGCGAAACCAGTGAAGGGCAGATAATATTGGCGTTAATGACCTATATTGAAATACTTAATATACCAACAGTAGCGTCATACTACTCATTTATAAAAAAATTAACTTTTTTCATATAATTATGACCTAGGGCGACAAAATTTTTAATTTAGCTACAGTGACTCATAATCTACGATTCAGATTGGTTTTTGCCTCATAGACTCCTGACGTTTCGTGACAAATCCTCGGAATTGACAAAAAAAACGTCCGTCGTTTTTCACTGATAACTTAAAGTTCTTTCAGGAAACCGACCTAGTATTCTCACTCGGTTAGACGGCCCGCGCCGAGCCGCTTCTCCCAATATATCGCACACTCCGATCGGATCACATTAAATCGCCATAAAATTCGCCATACATCTACAGCGACTCATAATCCTTGTACTCGCCGGGATTTTGGCCGATGGAGTCGTGGCTGTCTGCGTTTCTAATTTCACTACCACTGTGGCCGTACAGTAAGTCCTTGACACGACCCCAAGGATAAAAATGTAAGGGAGTAAGCGATCCAGCAATTTAGATAGGTAACATTAACATCTTAGTAGTCGCGAGCTGCTCATCACGATCTGATCAAAAACAACACAACACTCCTCTTTGGACTGTCGTATAAGGAGGTGCGAGACCTCTCATTCTGCGAACATTCGAACATGGAAAGCGTCGCGTGTCTTGTGACAGACGTCGAGGCGACAGATGTCAGCGCGGCGCAGAGGAACGCTGTCCGCCATGCAGACGGAGCGCGCGCGCCCACAGCGTCCGCCCCCGCGCCCCCGGCGCCCCCGCCCCTGCCTCGCCTGTCATCACTGTGATGTCATCTTCCGACCGGCGACGTCGTAAGCCCCACTCTCTTGCTGTGGAGGTGCACGACGCGCTCGATAGCTCTCGAGGTACATCGCCTCATGGAATACGTGTACCGTAGTGTCAGTTGCACAAATATACGTCACCGCACACACACACACACACGGATAGACGTACGCGGAGTGTCATCCCCTGGTGTCGCGCGTGTAGCCAGCAACCGAACGTGTGCGTGTTACAGGTTGCAGATCGAGTTGCTTGTTGCAGGTAGTGGTGCGAAGATGTCTGCGCGCACGTCGTCCGGTTCATGGTCGGGCGGCGGCGGCGCGCCCCCGGATATCATCGACTTGGACAAGTTCATGCGCAATGCTGTGCGCCCCGCGCGTCCAGAGAAACACGTCGTTAATTGGTAAATACACACGCAACAATATTAATCCGAAGATATCGTAGAAGATATAGCAAAGAGAGTGATCGTATGGTCGCGCGATACAGTGACGAGCTGGTAGTGGACGCTGGCGGAGTGGATCGGAAGCCAGGCGTGATGCCTCTTGCGACAGTCGGGGCGCCAGGATCGCTGGCACGCTCGGCGCCCCGCACGCCGGCGCCCGCCGCGGCGCAAACACTGTCGGTGCCGAGCAGTAGCAGCGTGTGTAGCGGCAGCCGGCCGCCGCCGCACGCGAAACGTTTCTCGCACGACTCCGGCCTGTCCGACGGCAGCTACGCGCGCCGCAAGCATCGCGCGCACAGGTGAGCGCGCGGCTCCCCCTAGCGATGACTACTACTACTACTACTTATTATTAGTACTGACTGACACACGGTATTGTACAGACGCGCCCCCGTGGGCGATGTGAGCACGGGGCGCGGGCCGCGGACCCCGGCCGGCTCCAGTAACTCGCTGCGAGCGTTCCGCGCGGTGTGTGAGCGCGCCCTGCTGGACCAGCAGGCGCAGATAGCGCGTGTGGCGCAGCTGTGCGAGCGCCTGACGGAGCGGCCCGTAGCTCCCGCGGCCCCCGCACCCCCGTC